AAATCAGCATCATTTTAGAGGAAATCACTATATATTAAATAACCATATAGTCTACTCATACAAACATTTAACCCTTTCCCCCATGAGCATATTGTGAAAAATGGCCGTTTTCACTGAAAAGCCTCCTGTTACAAGTTCAAACTGCTATGAAACTATGAACAAGAGCGATCAGTAATCACATGTGTCGCCTCATGATGGCCAATTTCATGTTGGGACAAAGTTTGTGACAGACGGACAGACAGACAGACAGTGCACAACTAGACTTTGTACTGATCATTCCTGTAAAGTTTGGATAAAATTGCACCAGTAGTTTATGAGGAATAGTCCGGACAAGCTTTTGCGTATCTGGCAACACACAGAAAAAAACACCTTTTTATCAAAGGGCCATAACTCGGCCAAAAATCATTCAACCGAAAAACCCGTGCAATATGTGCAAGGACTTGAGCTACAGATCAATCCTGTAAAGTTTCATTGAAATTGCATTAGTGGTATAAGAGAAGTAGTCTGGACAAACTTTAAAAATAAAAATTATTAAAGGGCCATAACTCAAACAAAAATCATTGAACCGAAAAATGCTGACAATATGCACAACTAGACTTGGTTATGATCATTCCTGTAAAGTTTGGATGAAATTGCACCAGTAGTTTATGAGGAGTAGTCCGGACAAGCTTTTGTGTATCTGGCAACACACAGAAAAAGAAACCTTTTTATCAAAGGGCCATAACTCGGCCAAAAATCATTCAACCGGAAAACCCGTGCAATATGCGCAAAGACTTGAGCTACAGATCAATCCTGTAAAGTTTCATTGAAATTGTATTAGTGATATAAGAGAAGTAGTCCGGACAAACTTTAAAATTAAAAATTATTAAAGGGCCATAACTCTGACAAAAATCATTGAACCGGAAAATCCTGACAATATGCACAACTAGACTTGGTACTGATCATTCCTGTAAAGTTTGGATGAAATTGCACCAGTAGTTTATAAGGAGTAGTCCGGACAAGTTTTGTGACGGACGGACGGACAGACAGACAGACAGACGGACAGACGGACAGACAGACGACGGAGAAGTGATCCCTATATGTCGTCACTACTCCGTAGAGGCGACACAAAAATGCTTCAATACTAATCAAACTTGGCACAAATGTTGACTGGACCATTGCCTTTGTAACGACATGCTCAGTCTTAAATTTCCTGTTACCATGGCAACGAGGGGACATCTCAAAATTGCCAAAAATCACTATTTTGCCTCGATTTTTTCCATCAAAATTTATTTCAAAGTGCTGCAACTTCTCAAGGGATTGAGATAGAGTCAAAGGCTTTTCAGCTTTGGTTAAACGTTACATTATGGTCGACCTGGGGTCATTTTTAGCCTCTCACAAGTCCAAAATTTTCTTGGCGATGAGGGGGACTCCGCCCCCCTTCAAACCCCCCCTAACAGAAGGGGGCACATCCCCCTTCTGGCAACCCCCTGATGTATCTTTTGGATGGGGGGGCGGCGCCGAAAAAGTGCTCAATTTTTTTAGCAACATTTCTCAAACGAAAACTTATGTTTAGGGCCCAAATAGGACATTTTTTTCACTATTTGAGGCCCCAAAAAGGGGGGGGGGGTCGAAAGTGCGTTGTTTCGCGTATATATGTGGTAAAGGGTTAAACAGACATTTATTCATAAAAGTATGACTGACAAGCAAACACTATGCCCTGAATATGCAGACCAAACAGTCTTGAACATCTCCCTTTAAGTCAGTGATTAATGGTGCAATATTTGATGATCAAAATAACTGAATATGGTGAAGTTGTGCAGTGAGTTTGATGAGGCCAATGTCAATGTCAACCAACCTTGTGAAAATGACCATTATATTAAATAAAATCCAAAAGAAAACAAGAAAAAAAAAACCTAAATAAATGCTCTCATTTATGATTACCTTACAATTCTTACTAACAAATCATTACTTAAGCCCTCATTACTTTCAATGAGTAGGTAATCATTTACTTAACATATGGTTTATCAATAGCACTTCGTAACAAGTACTAACAGCTTATCATAAATACCAAATAGGATTAAGTCATTTAAGCCATGTAAATTAAAGTTTGTGGAAGTTACAGTATCTGAAAAAAAGGAGTTATATTTATAAAAAAAAGAAAAATATTATTAACTTGGCATTTGCAATCCAACTTTCTATAGGTTTACATAAATTGCACATTAGGAATAGGAGAAATGTTGCACTATTTATTTAGAAGTGACCTACATGTATTTCACACCTCTGAACACTGGAGCTAGAATTCAGTACATTAGACTGTATGTGTGTCATGAGTGATGAATATGCAGAAAAATCCCAGGCAGTATAAATTAATATGTAAATAAATAAAAAAAAGTATAATAATTTAGTAGGCCTAAGAGTTTATAATGTCAATATTAAAATAAAAAAAATTTTAAAGAAAATATAAGCCTAGCCTTTATAATAATCTTTTTATAATGGATGTTTATCTTATTATTTATTGAACTCCTCAGAGTGGTAGCAAATGCAATAAGAATTATCAAATGCATGCAAAAAAACAACATGAAAGTGAAGTTACTGCACAAATAAGGGCAATAACTACACTCATATCCCGGACAAATTTTAACCAAAATTAAGTCCCTTTTTGCCTATTTCAAAAAAGAAATAAACAAGTTTCATGACTTATATAGTTTGAATATAAAAAGACAATTATAAAACTCCCCATTGTATTTAAGGTGAGTGTCACAGTGACACTTTTTTCATATGTACGTGTTTGTCCGAATATATAACATATCCGAAATTAGGCCGCTTAAAAAATATTTTTAAAATATCTTTATAAATACCTGGCAAGTCTGACAACGAATGTTGCTAATAAACGTGTTTTTATGTTTATTAGATTAACATACATTTGTCTTTAGTGCGCTACTATTTATAATGTATGCATTCGCGAACTTTTTAGCATAACACAGCGTTGCGTTAAAAATCAGGCCAGCCAAAACTATTATTGGGCTTGCAGATTTTTCTGATCAATCTATAGGCCATACACGCAATTTTGATAATATTAGTTGTTGACGACATTGTATGTGTCTATAGATAGTTAATTGAACACCTTTCAGATTTGAACATTACAGTATATTACTCGCGTGACATATTTTTAAATTAATTTAACGCACGTGTGCGATCTTTTGCACGTTATATCATACGTATCACGTGATGGTTCTGAGATACGCTATTTTAGGTTAATTGTATTTAAATAATCAATATCTCTTTTTATTGTATTCTCTCATTAATTAAATCAATATATCAAATAGATATGGGATATTGAATTCAATACTGAATTTATTGAACGAGTTGATATAAAATTATATATTAGATCTATGCAGCTTCTGGCGAGCAAAATATATTTTTATTCAACGAGTTCAACAAGACTGTTTAACGTGCAAACGAATCATTTTTTATTGACGCTCCTATATATAGTGGGATCTACTATATGTTCCAGTACAGTGCAACGCTATTTTGCGTGTCTTTACTCGTAAATGACGTCACGTCAAAATATATTCACGACGTGCAATATCATTTTTACGGAGTAGCAAAATCGGCACGGGTATGTGATAAATAGAGGATATTGAATGAGTGTAAGTTCAATACTGAATTTATTGCACGAGTTGAATAAAATTATATTATGCGAGCCTCTGGCGAGCATAATATTATTTTATTCAACGAGTGCAATAAATTCAGTAATGAACTTACACGAATTTAATATTCTATTTATCATATACCCAAAATAATGACCGTTTAAAGTGAAATAAGAGTCATTTTTCATTGACGCGCCTATAATATAACGCTAACATTTAGCGCGTCTTTACACTATGTTTGTATAACGCTAATGACGTCACGTCAAAATATATGCACGACGTGCAATATCATTTTTACGGAGTAGCAAAATCGGCACGGGTATGTGATAAAGCAGAATAATGTAAAATAGGGTAATTCGAAATAAATCTCAGTAGATCGACATCTAAGTGTCAGTTCCAAAAGCGTTCTTAAAATGGTAGATCTCGTATATTTAAATTGCTCAAAATTTCACAGGAAATTTACATCTGTATTTTATGTTTTTTCTTTTAAAAAGGCATTTCTATTAGGTAACATTTTACCAGGATCTTTTAAATAGAAAGATACCAGCAGCTGATTATAGATCTACATTTGATAAAGTGCCTACAGTGGTGATATCTACACGTTTGCAGGTATATTATAAACAATATTGAGATACAACCATATATTTTATATTTAATAATTTTTAGAGTAGTGCTCAATCTCTTTTATAGCGTTTTCTGAAAGTGTTTATAAAAATATTGATATCCTCTGTTTCTTAAGAAATACAGGTACAGAAAATACACAACTGATCAGGTACATGTATTCAACTTTTGGTTGCCATTTAAATTCTGGAAACATTACCCGTATCAAGTGTATTCAACATTGAAATTAATGGTATAATTGTTAAAAGATACGGTGACATAACTAAAGCTTCTTACGACAAAACATCGAATGCAAGTTGTATAGTTTAAGTATAAAGTTGAAGTGTACCACATTCTCACAACACTATGCATGTACAATTAGCTTTTATCTACATGTACTTCTAGTCATAAATAAATAGGCAAGTGAGCTTGCTCATGAATGACAAAATATCATGTAATAAGCTGAATTTTTTACAATTACTGAAGTTCACATGTGGGACTGGTTAAAACATTTTTTTATTTATCTATTCATTATTATTATTATTATTATTTTATTATTATTATTATTATTATTATTATTATTATTATTATTATTATTATTATTATATTATTATTATTATTATTTGCTTTTCTGTACCACAGAAAATATAGGATTTATATTAATATAAATCAACTATTCCCGCAAAAAATAAGTGACTGTCATTTAGATAGGACAGGTCGGTTTGGACCGGCACATTACGGGGCATGTTCAAGCTCATAGGTGTCGCTTACATCTGATTTCCGGTTGTGAAGTGAATCACCGACGCAAGATTTGACAGGGAAACACCTTCTTCTAGTTTATTTTCATATTTATATGAAACCATGGATTAAATCGTTTTAATTTTGTTTTAAAATATTTGCATCCAATTATAGACATGTCAGAAGACAAGATTGACGCTTTGTCTATCACTGACGATGAAGGCGATGATTCCGAGGACGAACTTAGGAATATCGAGAAGAAAGGGGTGCTTAGCAAATGGACAAACTATTTACATGGTTGGCAAGATAGATACATTGTCTTAAAAGATGGAACGCTTAGTTACTATAAGTCAGAAAACGATCTTGCTTTTGGATGCAGAGGAGCAGTTAGTCTTACACGTGCATCTGTTACGGTAAATTATTAATAATTTGGATATTTTATCTAACTTGTTGGTAAACAGGTTAAGGGAAATTATGGTAAACAGGTTAAGGGAAATTCTATTCTATTGCACTATCCATACAAATTCTCTGGCTTGAAAACAATAGATTAAACTGTTTGCACAGTTGGCTATCGCTGTTGAAAAAGTGAAAAACGTATCAATATTATAGTATCACAAGAGTTTGGTTTTATCACGACACACTAATTTGTGATATTCACATATTGAATGATATTCAAACGCAGTTTGTAATGTTTAAGTCTTTCTTTGTAAACATCCACTTTATCATTAATTAGAAATGTTTCAAATCTGTTTATTCTGTTGTACCACCTTACATACTTACTAGTAGATTTTGACTAGAACATATTTGAATCTCTTGCAGCCACATCAGTTTGATGAGTGCCGTTTTGATGTTGCTGTAAATGACTCAGTATGGTATCTTAGAGCTGAAAGTGAGGATGAGCGACAAGTGTGGATTGATGTTATAGATAACCACAGACAGACAGAGTCAGGATATGGTAGTGAAAGTAACCTTCGTAGACACGGATCTCTTATCTCGCTTACATCAGGAACTAGTATGTCAACAGCATCAACATCATCATTTAAGGTAATTTATTAGAGTATCAAGATAAAAACCAACTTGTCAACTCAACAAATTTTAAGAAAAGAGGAACCATAAAGTGATATTTTGCTATAACCACTAGGCCACTGGTCCTTTTGACTTTATAATATTTATTGTCACTGTACAGTGTGATTACTATCATGTATAAAATGAACCTTAATACATTCAAGTTAATTGCATACTTTCCATATGATCCAATTCACTTTAAAGTTGCTTTAAAATGCATTATCTCTTGTATATACATTGTATATGTTACTGTTATTATGTATCATTGTATGTGTTATTAGATAGACAGAATTGTTGTTGTATTTTGTTTTTGTTTTAATATTGAAAAAAATGTATTTTATGTTGACAGAGAGGTCGAGGTCTAAGAGAGAAATTGATGGAGATGGAGACATTCCGAGATATCCTCTGTAGGCAGATAGAAACTCTCCAGAGTTATTTTGACAGTTGTGCTTCCGCAGTTACCCATGGAACAATCAGTGATTGTAAGTTATAATAAACCTTGTTTTAAGAAAAAAAATATTATGTCCGTGGCTGAGAGGTTATGGTAGTTGACTTTTCTAACCACCGTGCCCCTTTATACCGCTGTGGGTTCCAATCCCAACAATGGCTTTGGATTCTTTCATGTCAGGAAGCTATCCAGCTAGCTTACAGAACATTGGTTGTTCTGGTTGTTCTACACAGGTGCCTGAATTAATGCATGGAAGGTCACATGATATCTTCCTTATCAGTAAAGCTTGAAAGGCGCCAAATGGACTATACTGCGTTTGTGTGATGTAAAACCCAACCAATATAAAATAAAAAAACATCATACTTCTTGTATGTTATCTGTATTCTAGTTTATAATTTTTAGCTTGACTGTTTTAGAAATGCTATTTATCTGTGTGACTGTGTTAGTGTAATGTTTTAATAGATGATACAATATCATAATGGGTATCTCATCAGTCACTGAAGGTATTAGTTGAAACTCCATCTGTCCAAGTCCCATAAGTCTAGTATGGATTTTGATTGAATTATTACCTTTTGTGACCTTTAAAATTAATTTCTGGTTTTAGTTATGCATGCAAAACAGCAGACATATTCAGTTGATACTTAACAGTTACATATTCGGAACATACATGAAGGTCATGTCTGAGGACAAAAACTCTGGCATGAACTTTTGTCTGAATTTTATGTGTCAGGGACAATTTCTGGTTGATGGTTGAAGTTTTAGGATGCAAGATGAATAACCATTCATAGTTGTGGTTCACTTTTAAAGACCCATAACTCTAGCTTAAAGTTTTATGTTCATGTATTGCCCTTTAGTAATCTTAGAAAATGATCCTGGGTAAAGTTTTAAGGGCAACATTAATATCCAAAAGTACTGATTTCATTCACTTGAAAATTCTTACATGTCTTCTTAATTATACAGTGAAGACATATAGCCAAGAACAATAACCCTGTCATTGATTTTGTTTAAATTATAGTTCTTTTAGCATAGGAGATTAAAACTACATGTAAGTCATGGATTTTAAATAAAAATTTTCCTTTTATGAATGACTACAATATCCAGGCTCTTGTTTTACTATCAGGCACCGAGAATAGTCAAGTGGGCTATTGAAGATCTCACATGTCTTTTGGTCATAATTGTAGGTCACTGACTAAATCCCTATATTCTGGCATGCATTGTTTCTGACTTTTCACATTTTGTGAACTTTGAAAAAATCCTGCATGGCCCTGAGTTATTAATAGCTTTGAGCATGTTGTCTACCTTAAGTAGCTTTTGTTTGAAATTTTTAACCTCAGTATCAGGCATATTGAGATTTTGTTCTCTTTTTATAGTTACATAAAACATATAAATGTTTTGTTTTCTATTTATAGTAACAGAGGATGACATTGGAGATCCTGATGACCTTGACCATGGAGATGATCATCAACATTCAGGGGTCAACTACCCAGGTCATTCTGCCAAAGATTTAGGTAATATGATTTTATAATTGTTCAATATATTTTAATGAGTTATAGGTTTACATGTACAATAGATCTTCTATGTTACATACTTCAATAAGTTTATTTTCTGGATGTGTCCAAGTAAAGTCCTGATTTTTTCCCTACAAATATAAAAGAGTCATTTTTGTGTCAACCTTTTCCATACCTTTTAATGAAAAATAGGTATACATGTTCAGTAGAACTTCTTTGTGTCAAACTTCAATAAGTTTATTTTCTGGATGTTTTGAAGGGGGAAGAATACCTTTATACAAATCTTTTTGAGTCAACCCCTTACATACCTTTTGTAAGTCACAAGTAAATGTCTGTTGTCTGTCCTTTGCTATTGTTGTTGTTGTTGCTGTTTTAAACAACCTAATGCAATTTTATGTGAAAAAACTATGGGAATGGTACAGTCTTTAATACAAATGTACATGTTTGTTCCTAAAATTGGATATTTAGAATTGATATGTGTCTTGTATGTAGTTTTAAAATAAGTTTTATATGTTAAAAGCAATGTCAAATGTACAGAATGCATCAATTAATTGAGAGCAAAGATGTTTTGTTTAATTCTGTGGATGTTTGCATTTTATAGTGGTAATAATGAAAATAAGCGCCCATTAAGCTTTGTTTTTCAATTTCTTAATATACTTTGTAGTGTGTAAATGGATTAATAAATGGCCTTTATCTTTGCATCAAAATGTCTTGTCTGTAACATTTTGTGACATCCCAGGTCATTAAGTAATTTGCCTTTACCTATTCCTTTAGGTATTGAATCAACATCAAACTGTTATCATTATTATAAGTATTTTTACATATTTTTTGTTTTTGTTGTTGTGCAAAATGAAAATAGTATTTTTATTCATAAAAAGTGACCTTGATATCAATACTGGGTAATAATAAAACATAACTAGGAATCTTTTAAAATGTTATCTATACAAATAATCATCCCTGGCTTTTTGTTTTCTATAACAATGTAGGTTATCAAGCTGGGGGTATCATAGACAAAAAAAATTGTGTAATATTTTTGGAATGATTTAATTTATAAGTAATGAACCAGAAACCACCGTAACAAATTTTCTAATGTTTTACTCATTGCGTTAATGTTGTTACTCTAGATATATATCGTCATTTACCATTAAGGCTATATCAGGTGTATCAGATTAAAATTGTGGGTCCTGAAGCATAAATAAAGCAAAACAACAATAATAATAATTGCTTGCTTTGTCTATATACATGATTCTAATTTGTAAACATATTTCCTTTTGATTGAATTTCATTCTTTTTAAAAAAAGTGAAGATATTGTCTTGCAATGTTTGTTTTACCTGTTTGTTAATGTTTATTTATAAGATTAACTTTTTGTTAAGGTCATTAAAGTCATTTTTGCTTAGTTATTTCCTTTATTTAATGCATAATAGTTTCCTTTTTTTTAAAGACTGTCAAAGATATTCACTTCAAACTCGAAATTATTTGTTTACATTCAAGGGCCGGTAAGTCTGATAATCATGTTTGCAGAATTATGCCCCCTTTTATTACAATGCTGCAGCATGAGGTATAGTGGAATGTGCTGTTAGCAAATAGGTCTTGTATGGAAAAATATTAGGTACAGTTTTAAATTGTAAAAAGTTTTTCTTGGTTATGATAACTTGTCCATGTAAGAAGGCTTAGAGGTAAATGTCCTTAACTTCAAATCACTTGCCCCTCAGAGCTGTGTGTTGGAATCTCGCTAGGGACTTTGGACTTTTTCATGTGAGGAAGCTATCCAGCTATCTTAAGGAACATACTGATTACTCCTAGTTAAATACTTAAATTTAGTTCTATGTCCCAAGTTTTTGGTGCAAGTTTTCTATATTAATATGTCAAAGATTTTTTTCTGATGAGAGCCTGATCAGTCTTCTGAAAATGATTGGCAGAGGCGAAAAAAATGCTTCAGGCAATATCTTTCTAAAAATTCATAAACTGTCAAATAATTGTAATAATTGTCAAAGGTAAATAGGTAAGTGACAGTAAAGTGTTTATTATTGCCACTGATATAATAGATAATGTGAATCTAGTTGTCACTTAATACTATGTATGATGTCTTGATGAAAAGTAATGGAATTATTTGGGTTATTTACACATTTATAAACAATGTTGTTTAAAAAGATACAAAAAGAAACATTTGTACATGGATCTAGATGATATTTTTTCATGCAAAAGAAATTTGTTCTTTTACAAGTAAAGAAATATCCATTATAAGTATTATAAAGCAAAACTTAGGAAGTAAACAAACTAATGACCATAGGCCCTTAATAAGGAAATTAAAGGCACTCCACTTAAGGTTGTTTTTTTTTTTAATAAAGGGTTTGGAAATCTTTTTCTAAAATTGTATACCATTTTATGAAGGTCTGTGCAAATATATGCAACTTGTGTGCTTGTGTGCAAAATTGCAGATCATTTGCTCACTCCGTATTTCCAAAATGAATTAATTTCTATTGTGCTAAATGACCCAAAATTGAGGAGCATTAAAGTGCTTTTAACTAAATCAGCCCCAGATGATCAAGATGATCAATGTAAGAATTTTTTATTTAAAATTATGTGTTAAAGCATTTTGACCGCTGTTGAGATTGTTTAAAATATAATACATCATATTTTTATGTTCTTGAAGGTATAAGAAATGTAATCAATTGTGTTGAATGTATCATTATTGATGTAAAGTCTAAAGATATATTTTATTGAGAGTACATGTAGCTATTTTTGAGCAAAACCTGAGTATATACATGTAATTGGTAAATATAAGAAAAAAAAATATGCCATTATCATTTGATATTGTTTAGATGGTAATATTTATAATGGCACCATTAGTGTCCATAATGGCAGCTAGCCAGTTTATGGTAAATTATTCATAAGACATAATTAGCCAATGTTTCTTGGATTAACTCTATTTTCCTCAAAGTAAGCAACTGATTAACTACTAGTTACTCAAGTCACATGTGAATATGGTACGACACTAATGTAAGTAAGGATATATAGTATCATAGCATGGTGCTAATGGAAGCAAATGTTCAATAGTGTATGAGGAATAGTGAACTTTTAGTTGATTTCTGTGATACATATACAATGGATTTGTAAGTTAATATTATCTTAAACATACATTATTCATTCTAGGGGAAAATTATTTTATTTGGATTTTAGACAGTTATTTTTTGATAATTTTAAAGGAGTTTGCTTATCAATGTATGCTTAGATCAAGCTGCCAACAGTATGGAGTTAGGTTTGATGTGCACTGATTGTCTCAGGAAAGCCTGCTGTATTCTTCAGGCTAGAGTTTTGTCATATTCCGTTGATTGAATTATTTTTAGTTAATTCTTTCCTCAAAGTTTTGGGAATACCTTTGTATTATTATTATGGAATTGGGATAACTCGTACCAAATTGTAAAACAAAAATGAAATTTTTAAAACCAATTTGTAAGTTTTTTTATGATGGTGAGTAGAAATGTTTTAAAAGTTCATGTACCTAAAGGTGTATTTTTGAGTAAAAGACATACATGTTCTTGTAGAATTCAAATTATATTTGTTTGTTGTTAAATGTTTTATTTCTGAAAAAAGAAATACAAACATACAAAAATTTCATATGATCAATATAAAAGGATAAAAAAATAAGAATTTTCGCTTCTCTTACATTTGGCTGGGATTTCCTTCGTAAATGGAGATACTGGCCAAATGTCAGCATGTAAAAAGAAGAAGAAACTAGTGAATGATCATTTATACAGTCTTACAATTGTTCTCAACTTTGAAAGGGTGGTAATTTGCTGTTCGTTGCTGTCATGTTACTGTTGTTGATGATGCTGTTATTGATGATGCTGTTATTGATGATGATAATGATGATGATGAAAGATTAGCTACAGAAAAGAATAAGATATGAATGCTAAGATAAGGAAATGGAAATGAATTGTTATCTTTCAGAATCTGAGATGAATTGTATAATAGTTTATTGGTACAATTTAGTGACTGACATGTGTTTCTAAATAATTGAGTGTAACAACACTAGGGTTGGTTTATTATAAGAAATCTATACTTATTGTAATTACTGTGTTGTTTTATGGTAAACTAGGGGACAGTTTTCATTGTGCATGGTGGCAGAGAATGATGTTTAAAGCAGGTATTAAAGCAGTAATCAGGGTTGTAGTGGCTGTAAAAGCTTAAAGATCAAAGCAGGGTGTGAGAGTAAACTTTCATCAGAAAGTTTATTGTATGAGAAATATATTGCTTGTGTGGAAGGCATAAAACTGGTAAAGCTGCCTTTGAATAAAGATTGTGTTGCATGAAAATCCTTTTACAGGAAGAACATACACACTATTAGAATATGGAATTGTTTCAAGTTGAATAATGTTCTCTTTCTATCTAAAAATATATTTGATAAACACACAAGATTAACATCTATTGTAACAAATAACAACAGAAAAATATGACTATATTTTTTTTTTCATGATGATTGGTTTTTTTGTTTTGTTATTTCTTATGTCATTATATAACCTTTATGAATGTGGCATTATAGATTGGCCCTTTTTTGATATGGAAAATAATTTTACAATAGTAACAAAGTGCAATAATATTTTATGCATTTATAAGTAAAATGTGTGTCAGGTATCCAGATACTGACATTCTTGTCCATGGTTTTGACAATGATCCAGCAAAGTTATAGGAGGTCAGTTTCCTACAGACTTGTCCCTGAAATAATGCATGGAAAAACCCCTGACATCTTCCTTGTTCAGTAAAGCTGGAAATGTCACCATTTGACATTAACTGTATTTTTTGGCAAAAGTGAAACAAACAAAAAATGAGCCGCGTCACGACAAAACCGACATAATGGGTTTGCGACCAGCATGGATCCAGACCAGCCTGCGCATACGCGCAGTCTGATCAGGATCCATGCTGTTCGCTTGGTTTTGTCATGACACGGCTCAAATAATGGATGAGGGCTCTTGGATTATTGATACATATGTAAGTTTTAACAATTGAGTTGAATAAAGTACAAAATATGTATATTTACACTAGATACAAGATATGTTAAAACTTATTTTTTGCATAGTAATGTTTTCATTTGTTTTTCAATATATATTTTCAGCCTCAATATTACAGCAGCATGGAGCACATTCTGTGGATTTTAAAGGTGAATCATTCACATTCAAGGCAACAACTGCTGGTATTATAGCTACATTGTCTCATTGTATAGAGCTCATGTCACAGAGGGAAGATGCCTGGAGAAAGAAACTAGAGAAAGTAAGTGAGCAAAATAATGGAAATTGTAATGGCCTGGATTGGAGAATTGGTTATGGTGGCTGATTTTAAATTACTTGTCTTCTTAGTTGTTGATTTAGACTAGTTTGGGAGGAGAACAGTACCTGTCCGTGGAGGAATTTTCTTGTCACTTTCCCATGTATGTGCAATTTCAGGCAAATTCTCCTGCACTTACATACAATGCATGAACTTTTATCGGAACAAAAATTGCAAAATAGTTCCTCTCTTAGTGCCTTACAGTTTTATTGAATGCAGGTTAAATTTTTATTATCATTCAGCATATGGACAAATCAATTTACTATTATCCATGTCTCTGATTTTCATTTGTAAGAGGAATTTTGCTTGTTAATTGGAGAGGAAAGGTTGGGGGGGGGTGGAGAATTGTGGTTAAATACCACAATAGATAGTGAAAGTTGCATGTGAAGAAGATATTCATCTACAAAAGAAAATTTTGTTTTTTTGTATAGTTATAATATCTGGCCACAATTATAGTTTATGCTATATATAATTACAGGAGGTAGAAAGAAGAAAGAAGTATGAAGATGCCTACAAGAACTTGTTAGAACAGCATAACAAGCAACAACAAAATGCCTCAAGATTAGCTGGACCGGACTTTGAGGTGAGTTATTTTATTATAAAAGACCATATCACCCATATTCCTTCAGTGATGTAGGGAAAATATAAGGTCCGTTGACCTTGGTTTTACCGGTGTAAGTTGTAGCCCATGTTTTGGCTAAAAACTAAGTCTGAAAGTGCAATGAATGTTATAATATATAGGTACACTGAAATTTATCATGGATTTCATTAAAAAATACTTGATCTGCAATGAAAATTATGACATGATTATATAGGTGCAATGAGATTTATACATGATTGTATAGGTGCAATGAAAGTTATCATGAATTTCATTTAAAAAAAAAACTTGACCTGCACTGAAAATTATCGTGATTGTATAGGTGCAATGAAAATAATAACATCTATTATATAGGTGCATTGAGAAGTATACATGATTGTATAGGTGCAATGAAAATTATAACATCTATAATATAGGTGCATTGAGAAGTATACATGATTGTATAGGTGCAATGAAAATTATAACATCTATTATATAGGTGCATTGAAAATTATACATGATTGTATAAGTGCAATGAAAATTATAACATCTATTATATAGGTGCATTGAAAATTATACATGATTGTATAGGTGCAATGAAAATTATAACATCTATTATATAGGTGCATTGAAAATTATACATGATTGTATAGGTGCAATGAAAATTATAACATCTTTTATATAAGTGCATTGAAAATTATACATGATTGTATAGGTGCAGTTAAAATTATAACATTATATAGGTGCAATGAGATTTATACATGATTGTATAGGTGCAATGAAAGTTATCATGAATTTCATTTTTAAAAAATATTTGAACTGCAATGAAAAATATGACATGATTATATAGATGTAATGAGAGTTATGACATGAATTTCATTAAAAAAAATCTGATTTGTAATGAAAAATATGACATGGTTTACAAGGATATTAAAATATGATTTGCAATGAAAATAATAGCATAATTTTCAATAGAATGATTTGCAGCAAAAATTATAAAATGATTTGCAACAACATGATAATAAAGGTGTATTGAAAATTATTACATGTATATATAGGTAGGCCTACAATGAAAATTATGACATGATTGTATAGGTGCATATTTGTTAACCCTACAAAATACTTATGTACAAATCATTTATTTAAAATGTTAAAGTTCTAACTTTATTCATGCAAGCAAAACTCCAATTAATTTGTGAAAGTTAAACATTTACAAATGTTCAGTATCTATTTAATATAAATCAAATTTTCATATATAGGTTGCAGCTGACTGTTCAATTTCGTTGTACAAATACAATTTCAACATTTTTGTGTCATTGAATGAATATACATGTATATGTAATGCAAAAACCTTGAAATAGATAGTTTAAGTCTAGCTTTTCTATTTTTGGTCAGAATTTATCGTGCATGATTGATCGATTTATAAGTGGGTAGCACATTGATAGCATAAATATCTTACTTATTGGAGATATCTTAAGACGAAAGCATTGAATGTTTATCTGTGGGGTTAAAAATTAGATTATGCTTAAACTTTTTAAAAGGTGAATAGGTGCTCTGTAAATGATTACATTATAAATGTTTATTTTGAATTTAAATCTTCTCATGTTTTATAAAGGTTATCTACGTAGCATACAGAATAGCATAGATTTAAGGGAAAGATTTAAATACAGTATTACTAGTATGTTAAATCATTTCATAGAAATGTTGTTTTGCTTTATTTTATAAGCGAAAATTTCACTAATTAAATTTAGCTGGAAATTGAAATAGAAGATATTGAATGAGTGTAAGTTCAATACTGAATTTATTGCACGAGTTGAATAAAATTATATTATGCGAGCCTCTATATTCTGTATTATAGCCTGTATTCTATTTATCACATACCAAAAATAAAGACCGTTTAAAGTGAAATAAGAGTAATTTTACATTGACGCGCCTATAGTATAACGTTAACATTTAGCGCGTCTTTACACTATGTTTGTATAACGCTAATGACGTCACGTCAAAATATATGCACGGCCGTGCAATACCATATTTACGGAGTCGCAAAATCGGCACGGGTGTGTGATAAAATGTTGTTAGAAATCTGGTCAGACTTGATTCTGTTGGCTGATAAATTTTAGCTTTTATAAAACAAAAATTAACTTAACAGTCCTATAAATATATGAGAATGTGACATTTTACTTAAAGATAAACTAAGCTAATTCTTGAGTAAAATAATTATATCACAGAAATTTATTGAAATCTATGAAATATTTAAAGAATATATCTAATTTAAAAAAATGTAAGGTTAAAAACACTCACATACAAATGAGATAGGTAAACAATTTGGGAAAAAGAGTTTTTTTTGTCAACTATGTGATCAATTCAGAACTCAAAGGAGTAAAAATCCTTGCAGAACTCTGGTTAAGAATTGTAATCATTTACTTTGATCCTTCTAAAGATTATAATTAGTATACAATGTACATTGAACGTCACTCCTGTACTTTTATTGACTTCTAATCCAGTTACCTCTTCGGCGTGGGTTCGATCCTCGGGAGATGCTTTGGTAGTTTAGCACGGAGGAAGGTAGTCTAGTACTGTTGTAACTCTCCAGGAATGATGGTTAGGAAACTACCCGCCTATATGACTGAAATACTGTTGGGAAAAGGCGTAAAATGAAACAAACAAACTGTACTTTTATATACATTTCAGCCTTGAAGCTTTAAACAAAATATCACAATTTCATTAATAACACTATATCATGCTTTTCTTAGAACTTTGTGTCATACCAATAATGAAGATGGGGCAGAACTGTCATAACAATATAGCATTAGCATTAAACATTGGTTTGATGAAGGTTGATTACATTGTTGTTTTTTCAATTATTACAGGAAGGTCCGCATTCAGTAATAAAGGAAGATGAGTTCTTTGATGCCATTGATGCATCGCTAGATAAACTAGAGAAAGAAGAAGAAGACGTAAGTATATATGCACTGGTTAGACTGGTTAAATTGTAATGTGCTTCAGAAGCAGATTGTTTTGGTGGGGTACTTTAAGAGAGTGTTTTTGCTGACTGTGACATGCCTCTTTCTTAACAATGATGATAAGCTGTTTTGATTTGAGGGAGGAGTTTGGTTAGTTCCCAAGTGGTCTGTGGTTTGTACCTGAGGTTTTAATCCAGCATTAAAGCATGGTTTTTAGTTGCTAAAAGTGTGACAAAACAACCAAACCAAAGAAAAAAAACTGTCAATACAAATTGCCATTAGAGTAAAAACACCATGCACCAGGGCTCGAGCTAGTGGGCGATTCGGGCGAAATAGTCGCCGAATTCCGCCTGACTTCGCCGACATCCTACATGAAAGCGAAGATGAAGTCGCCCGATTTTATTGATCCATTATTGAAAATTACCAACAATAACTGTGAATAACATGTTGTGTGTGTTTGCTTTGTTTACCCTCGCCGCCGGAAAAAGGGACTGTCATGCATCTCAATCAACGCGAAATGTCATTAATCCGTTTGTTTACCAACATGTCATAAAAGTCTAATTAACAGACGCTCGAGGAACAATTAGACTCCGCCCATGGCGAGATTACCGATACGTGCGAGAAACCAATCTTATTTCATGCTTTCCAGTGTTTTATTGTAATATATCAGATGATTATATTCTGATAAACCACTAGTGAAATTTATAAAATATAATTTTCACTGTAGCCGGACTATATCCGAATGCGGATGAAAAGAAAATCATAACTAAATGGAATAACAGGCAGAAATAAATGCCGTCATACGTAAATTGTGATTCTTTAGGACAAGAAAGTCGATTTCACCATACATCATGTTAAAAATGTAACAAAATAAGAGAAATTTAACAGAACTATATTTCAAAATTGATGATGTGACGTCATGATGTGATGACGTCACAAAGGAGAATGCGCGACGTTACGCGGCAAAATCAGTGAAAAATACTTAAAATCACTTAAAAAGCATGAAATAAAAAGAAAATTTATTTATTTTACGTATAAGATTGAAATATATTTCATTCGTGAACACCAGCTATTATATTTTCACTCGTGGCTACGCCACTCGTGAAAATATTGCATCTGGTGTTCACTCAGTGAAATTATATTTCAATCTTACATGCAAAACAAACAAATATCCTCTATGTAATTCACGTTTTAATCGAGGCGACATTATTTAACCAATCATTAAATCGCTAACATAGAACTACTGTAACAATTATTTATGATGGACGGATCAAACGTCAATTAAATTTTCACTATCGAATGATTGTCAGAATTAAGAGGACCGCTCGACATATAACTGTAACGGTAATTTTAAATGAAAGTTATGATAACCTTTTTTGTCGACGAGTTAAATTTGATAAAATTAACGGCGTATTACACTGTATTTATTACAAATGAAGTGAAAATAAAGATCGTTTCTTTCGTTATCTACTTTTATTTTCTTTACAACATATAAGTGAATATGAATATAATGTCCGGCGCAAGCTTTTTAATAGTAAATCAGAAGGGAATAACTGTTAATCCACCCATGATATGATCCATGATAGGAATCAACTATGGCTTTTTTATCTTCATTTAATGCAATGGTTGCATTACATGATACTCATTCTCATTACTTGTTTCAAACTACTTTTAAACAGAGACATAGATAACAATAGTTATAATAATAGCTATCTATGTCTCTGTTTTAAATTAAAATTGAATATTCTGTTGTAACACAAATCCAATTCATTTAATAAGATATGTACAGTGAGTCAACATAATTGCGATAACATACAACAAACATCGATAAATGAATCTCCTCACTTCTCCCTAAAGTCTCCCCACTTCTCCCTAAATCAGCTGGAGGGAGAAGTGACTTCTCCCTAAATTTTGAACCTAGCTAGAGCCCTGCATGCACTCTCTAATTTAGTTAATTACAATTCTATAGATCTTTGGTAAAGTTTTACTTAGACAGATTTTGTTACAAGAAATTAATTTGTAACTCTATACAATCCTTGATTTTCAAGCCAGTGTATAATTATGTGAGTAGGAGAAGAGAATACTGATATATGATAGCCAATGTCCTGTTAAATATAATTATTAACCTTTAAGTATAAATAAAAAAAATGATTAAAAAATTCTGAATAACTCAATTTTATATATATAGGAGTTTATAATTGATTTTGAATAATGATTTATCATACTTTTCAAAGTATGATTTATAAAGTTTCTTGCATTATACTTCAGATTGCTCAAAGATGTTACCTTGTGTATTTTTTCTTTATATCAGTGCTATTTTTATGAATAAAATGTCAAAAAATGCCAAAAAATCTTTGATTTTTACATTTTTCTTTTGGTCAAAAGAAATTATTTCATCCATTTTGAAGCAGTATAATATGAATTTAATAGAGTGACCTTTATTTGTATTGCAGAAACGATTAGTACAGACAAAGGCAAGACCACCCCCTAAGATTCATCTTTCTCCAGAAAACTTTTATTATGCAGAGGTAAGTGAAACGTAAAATTGTGCAAAACTGTGGTAGGAGTTATTTAAAAACATACAACAGAATATTTTGACAGACCAATCTCATATGAAATGAAATGTTTGTTTTGTTGGTTTTTAGCTCAACTTTACAAAGTATATGGAGAGCTGTCCTACTCGCCCCGGCATTGGCGTCTGCGTCCAAATTTCAGATTAAAGTTTTGTTGCAGTAAAATATTTTTCACTATAACTTTGTCATTTCATAAGGTATCAACTTCAAACTTCAAATATATGTTCCTTATCATCAACCACATCTTATGTGACAAGGTTCATAACTCTAGCACCAATATTTTCAGATTTATCTCCCCTTGAACTTAGAATTTTCCTTAAATATACTATTTTTTACTGTTCATTCTTTATTTATAAGGGATCAACCTCATACTTCAAATATATGTACCTTATCATCATCCACATGTTATGTGACAAGGTTCATAACTCTAGCACCAATATTGCAAGAATTATCTCCCCATAAACTTAGATTTTTATACTAGAAAAATGTTATTTTTTACTATAACTTTTTTAGTTTTAAAGGTATCTAACTCAAACTTCAAATACATGTACTTATTCCTTATCATCAATTACATTTTATGTGACAATGTTCATAACTCTTGAAGCAATATTTACAGATTTATCTCTCTGTGACAGCTCTTGTTTACTTTTCTTTGATATATCCTGATCGAAATGTGTTATTCAAATGTACCAGACTCAGCTTTGTATGGCTACAAAATGTATATCTACATGTATCTGTCAAATACTTCGTGTAATTTATGGATTAAAAGATTCTTAACTTTCTTTTTTAGACCAAAAGTTACTTAAATTTCTGTTTTTAGATTGATTGATACTTAATTGACTGTTTTTATATCAATAATTACTAAATCTTTGTTTTACATTAATAGATGCGTAATGTTCTATGCTTTAGACCAGTGGTTACTTAATTTTGTGTTACTTCAGTTTTTGTTGTGAGATCGATAGATGCATAATGTATTAGATTAAAAGTAACATTTTTATGCCCCCGGGCATATAGTAATTGAACCGTCTGTCCCTCCATCCGTCCGAGCAAACATTTTGGGTTTAGGGGCTATATAACGGTAAAGAGAACAAAAGAGAACAATAGGTTCATTCCGTGATCAAAGGGTTTATGGGCAAGTAGCCCTTAAGAAAACAAAGAAAATAACAAAGAAAATAGCCCCTAAACCCAAAATGTTGGAATGTCCGTCTGTCCGTACAAGGTTAACCTAGAAAGGCAAGTTGGATTTTTCTTAAGTTCTACCTGTACCAATGGCTTCATTATTTACACACTTACTAATCCATACAAAGTATATGATCTGGGCAAGTTACATAACTATGGCTCCAATTTGCACCAAGTTATGGCCCTTTTCAGCACTTAGAAAATGAATAATGGTTAACCTAAACCGGCAAGTTGGAAATATCTTATGTTCTAACTTCTATCTGAACTAATGGCTTAATAATTTTCACACTTACTTATCAATACAATGTACATGATATTGCCAAGTTATATAAATGTGCCATCCATTTTCCCAGTAATTTCCCTTTTTATCACTTTGAAAATAGGGCCTTGTATGGTTAACCTATTCCGCCAAGTTGGATTTATCAAAAAATTTCACCTAATTACTTAATTTATTTAATGATATCTTTCATATTTGGTAGGTGGATACCTTTAACGGTCCTCTAATTTTGTGTGAGTTTGGGCGTCTCTAGCTCAAGGTCAAGGTCACTTGTGTAAAAAAATAAATCTAAACATTTCTGCTCATACAGCCTTTATTTTTAGCTCGACTATTCGATAAGAATAAGTAGAGCTATTGTAGTCACCCGAGCGTCGGCGTCGGCGTAACCACTTATGTTAAAGTTTTTATATTAGTTTAAATATTTTCAAAGTCCATTGACATATGGCTTTGAAACTTTGCACACTTGTTCACCATCATTACCCCAACCTGTAAACAGGAGGAGGTAACTGTATCAAGCATTTTGACAGAATTATGCCCCTTTTTCGACTTAGAATTTACGTTAAAGTTTTTGTAATAGTTCAAATATTTTCAAAGTCCATTGACATATGGCTTTGAAACTTTGCACACTTGTTCACCATCATTACCCCAACCTGTTAACAGGAGGAGGTAACTGTATCAAGCATTTTGACAGAATTATGCCCTTTTTTCGACTTAGAATTTTATGTTAAAGTTTTTGTAATAGTTCAAATATTTTCAAAGTCCATTGACATATGCTTTTCAAACTTTGCACACTTGTTCACCATCATTACCCCCAACCTGTAAACAGGAGGAGGTAACTGTATCAAGCATTTTGACAGAATTATGCCCCTTTTTCGACTTAGAATTTACGTTAAAGTTTTTGTAATAGTTCAAATATTTTCAAAGTCCATTGACATATGGCTTTGAAACTTTGCACACTTGTTCACCATCATTACCCCAACCTGTAAACAGGAGGAGGTAACTGTATCAAGCATTTTGACAGAATTATGCCCCTTTTTCGACTTAGAATTTACGTTAAAGTTTTTGTAATAGTTCAAATATTTTCAAAGTCCATTGACATATGGCTTTGAAACTTTGCACACTTGTTCACCATCATTACCCCAACCTGTAAACAGGAGGAGGTAACTGTATCAAGCATTTTGACAGAATTATGCCCCTTTTTTGACTTAGAATTTACGTTAAAGTTTTTGTAATAGTTCAAATATTTTCAAAGTCCATTGACATATGCTTTTGAAACTTTCCACACTTGTTCACCATCATGACCCCAACCTGTAGACAGGAGGAGGTAACTGTATCAAGCATTTTGACAGAATTATGCCCCTTTTTCGACTGAGAATTTATGTTAAAGTTTTTGTAATACCTCAAATATTTTCAAAGTTCATTGACATATGGCTTTGAAACTTTGCACACTTGTTCACCATCATTACCCCAACCTGTAAACAGGAGGAGGTAACTGTATCAAGCATTCTTTTTTACTATCAAGCACTAAGCGACAGCTCTTGTTAAGTTAATGTCTTTCATGTTTATAATAGTCATACCAAGGGAGGTCCTCTTTTTTTCCTTTAGTAAGGGGTCATTTGGGTCAAGGTCAACGATGTCAAAAATAGATTTTTTACACTTTTACAGGTGTATTAACCTTATTCTATCGACAGATGTGTTGTATATTTTGTAGGAACATAAAATTGAGGTATTCTCATTTGGATGGAGGTAGGGGTCAGTTGGGTCAAGGTCACCAGTGCTAAAAATAGATTTTTACACTTTTGCTCATACAGCCTTTATTTATTGACAGATTTGTATTATAATTGGTAGGAAGATAACTTACATGGTAGATTTTTACACTTTTGCCCATACAGCCTTTATATATTGACGGATTTATTTCATATTTGGTAGGAAAATAAGTTGCATGATATTCTTCCTTTGGATGGAGTTAGGGGTCAGTTGGGTCAAGGTCACCAGTGCTAAAAATAGATTTTTTACACTTTTGCCCATACAGCCTTTATTTTATATATTGTTACTGACAAGAATCTGAGCCAGGGGCATTTGTGTTTAACAAACAGGTTTTTTTATTTTTTTTTTTATTTTTTTTTTTTATCAAAAGTCAATTGCTTTACAGATTGTCAGATCAATAGATGCATAACTTTCTTTATTTTTTTCACAGATCAATAGGATAGTAAACACACATATACACCAATTGTATGAGAAAACAATAGAAGGAAAAGATGTATGGGAATGTATCGCAGAAGAGGGAGAGTTGAAGGTTTATAAACGGGAAATGGAGGTTAATGGAGTAGTCCTCGATCCATTGAAGGCTGTACATACGGTCACGGTATGTATACATTTTACTTTACGCAAAACCCTACCAACTGCTGACGTGTTTAACAACACATCTAATTTATTTTATTTTTTAATGCATTTATCCACAATTGCTTAATGAACTGTATATTTTTTTGTGTGTTAACTTTCACTTCTTCAAAAAATGTTCTTGTAAGAATGGCATTTTAAAACTAAATAAAGATATCTATCTTTATTTATTTAATATCATTTTATTTTTAGTCCCAAATAAAGTAGGACGTTGTTTCTTAAAATACCTTTTGTTAGTTTTAATCAACTATAGATCTACTTGGAATAAACTTAAGTTTTATATTGTTGCATAATCTGGAGAATTTGGCTTCTGTACTAATGACCCGCTTATATTCCTAAAAAAATAAGAATATTTCTTGTCAGAAAAAAAAAAAGAAATTTAAGTGTGAATATCTTTATTATGCCCCCATTTTGAAAAAAAGGGGGTATATTGCTTTGCACTTGTCGGTCCGTCGGTCCGTCGGTCCGTAGACCAAATGGTTTCCGAGTGATAACTAAAGAACCCTTAGGCCTAGGAACTTCAAACTTGGTATGGTGATTGGTCATGACCAGTAGATGACCCCTATTGATTTTGGGGTCAAGGGGTCAAAGGTCAAGGTCACATTGACCTTGAAAGCAAAAAACGGTTTCCGATCAATAACTAAAGAACCTTAAGGCCTAGGAACTTCAAACTTGGTATGGTGATTGGTCATGACCAGTAGATGACCCCTATTGATTTTGGGGTCAAGGGGTCAAAGGTCAAGGTCACATTGACCTTGAAAGCAAAAACGGTTTCCGATCAATAACTAAAGAACCTTAAGGCCTAGGAACTTCAAACTTGGTATGGTGATTGGTCATGACCAGTAGATGACCCCTATTGATTTTGGGGTCAAGGGGTCAAAGGTCAAGGTCACATTGACCTTGAAAGCAAAAACGGTTTCCGATCAATAACTAAAGAACCTTAAGGCCTAGGAACTTCAAACTTGGTATGGTGATTGGTCATGACCAGTAGATGACCCCTATTGATTTTGGAGTCAAGGGGTCAAAGGTCAAGGTCACATTGACCTTGAAAGCAAAAACAGTTTCCGATCAATAACTAAAGAACCTTAAGGCCTAGGAACTTCAAACTTGGTATGGTGATTAGTCATGACCAGTAGATGACCCCTATTGATTTTGGGGTCAAGGGGTCAAAGGTCAAGGTCACATTGACCTTAAAAGCAAAAACAGTTTCCGATCAATAACTAAAGAACCTTAAGGCCTAGGAACTTCAAACTTGGTATGGTGATTGGTCATGATCAGTAGATGACCCCTATTGATTTTGGGGTCAAGGGGTCAAAGGTCAAGGTCACATTGACCTTGTAGGTAAAAACGGTTTCCGATCAATACCTAAAGAACCTTAAGGCTTAGGAACATTAAACTTGGTATGGTGATTGGTCATGATCAGTACATGACCCCTATTGATTTTGGGGTCAAGGGGTCAAAGGTCAAGGTCACATTGACCTTGTAGGTAAAAATGGTTTCCGATCAATAACTAAAGAACCTTAAGGCCTAGGAACTTCAAACTTGGTATGGTGATTGGTCATGATCAGTAGATGACCCGTATAGATTTTGGGGTCAAGGGGTCAAAGGTCAAGGTCACATTGACCTTTTAATTAAAAACGGTTTCTGATCAATAACAAAAGAACCCTTAGGCCTAGGAACTTCAAACTTGGTATGGTGATTGGTTATGACCAATCAGATGACCCCTATTGATTTTGGCGTTAAGGGGTCAAAGGTCAAGGTCACATTGACCTTGTAGGTAAAAACGGTTTCCGATCAATAATGAAAGAACCCTTAGGCCTAGGGACTTCAAACTTGAGATGGTGATTGGTCATGATCAGTAGATGACCCCTATTGATTTTGGGGTCTAGGGGTCAAAGGTCAAGGTCACATTGACCTTGTAGGTAAAAATGCTTTCGGATCAATAACTTAAGAACCCTTATGCCTAGGAACTTCAAACTTGGTATGCTGATTGGTCATGACCAGCAGATGACCTATTGATTTTGGGGTCAAGGGGTCAAAGGTCAAGGTCACATTGACTTTGTAGGTAAAAACGGTTTCCGATCAATAAACTAAAAACGCTTAGGCCTAGGAACTTCAAACTTTGTGTGATGATTGGTCATGACCAGCAGATGACCCCTATTGAGTTTTAGGTGAAGGGGTCAAAGGTCAAGGTCACATTGACCTTTTAAGTAAAAACGGTTTCTGATCAATAACTCAAGAACGCTTAGGCCTAGGAACTTCAAACTTGGTATGGTGATTTGTCATGACCAGCAGATTACTCCTATTGATTTTGGGATCAAGGGGTCAAAGGTCAAGGTCACAATGACCTTGTAAGTAAAAACGGTTTCTGATCAATAACTAAAGAACGCTTCGGCCTAGAAACTTCAAACTTGGCATGGTGATTGGTCATGACCAGCAGATGACCCTATTGATTTTGGGGTCAAAGGTCAAGGTCACATTGACTTTTTAAGTAAAAACGGTTTCTGATCAATAACTCAAGAACGCTTAGGCCTAGGAACTTCAAACTTGGTATGGTGATTTGTCATGACCAGCAGATTACTCCTATTGATTTTGGGATCAAGGGGTCAAAGGTCAAGGTCACAATGACCTTGTAAGTAAAAACGGTTTCTGATCAATAACTAAAGAACGCTTCGGCCTAGAAACTTCAAACTTGGCATGGTGATTGGTCATGACCAGCAGATGACCCCTATTGATTTTGGGGTCAAAGGTCAAGGTCACATTGACCTTGTATGTTAAAACAGTTTCCGATCAATAATAAGAGAACCCTTAGGCCTAAGAACTTCAAACTTGGCATGGTGATTGGTCATGACCAGCAGATGACTCCTATTGATTTTGGGGTCAAGGGGTCAAAGGTCAAGGTCACATTGACCTTGTGGGTAAAAACGGTTTCTGATCAATTTACTAAAAACGCCTAGGCCTAGGAACTTCAAACTTTGTATGATGATTGGTCGTGACCAGCAGATGACCCCTATTGAGTTTTTGGTCAAGGGGTCAAAGGTCAAGGTCATGACCAGTAGATACTTTATAACCCTTATTAATTGTTTGATCACTGGGTCAGACGTCATGCATAATAACCTTATCACATGACTAATTGGCTGCTGATAGGGGGCATACATGTTTTACAAACATATCTTGTTAAGACTGATATTGTCCAAAATTCTTCTTGAAAGCTGGTGTAAACAAAGTTTTTCTATTCTCTATGGTTTTTTGTAAATTCTTAAATAAATTGATTTAAATTTTAATATTCTGGATTTAATTTTTATGCCCCAACAACTTAATGGGGTGCATATAGTTATAGATTTGTCTTTGTCTGTCTGTATCTCAGTCTGTCCGTCCGTCTGTCATGCTTTCCATACATAGTCTGACAAAACAGTGGAACATGTGGGCATTCCTGCCCTATGGACGCATATTTCCAATTTCATTTAAGTTAAATAATATCTGCATATATATATATAACTTCATGAATTTATTTTTTCTTTAGCATGATTTTATATAAAGAATAGAAAAGTAGTTTATAAGTATATTTTAAAAGTTTTTTTTAATTTCTTTATTTTTGTATATAAGGCGCTAGATTTTTTCTATGTGTTTGCATTAAGTGTATTTGTAGACGTTCTTGTGAATAAGTTTTCAGCCTATTTAGCCTATTAATTCCATGTTTTGAACCCCTGCCACACCTTAACCTATTGGTGTTGCATGTTTATTAGTACTAATACTGCTAAAAAAGACCTGTGTGATTGTTGGTTGTTGTTGGGAAACTTGTATGTTGTAAGCTAAATATACATGTAATTAACTATAATTATAATCAAACTTATGTTAAACTGCCGAGTTTTTCTTCTTTGGATTTCTCCCGCCAATCTATTTATCCAGAATTTACGTACATTTTTCTTTTAAATTAAGGTATCTTACTTTGATTGTTATCAAGATTTAAACAAACATTATGTTGATTTTACAGACAGTTCATTAGAGATGTCAGATGTGCTGTTAGATAGACAGCAGAAGTTGCTGTTCTTGTTGTGTGTTGCTATTAAATATTCTAATTTTGCGTTTTTGATCTTTTCCCGTTGTTTTTCACAAAAAGAGATTACTGTCTTTACATTTTTGTGTGTAACCAGGGTGATACCATGACATTTATGATGATTGAAGTTCATCTACAAGAGCTTTATCTCAAAGTGATTTACAACCTTATGAATTACAGAACATCATAAAAACAACTTTTTACCATTGTTACATACAAGCTAGTTTAAGGTTGATGTAGTTACTTTTCACTGTTACGTAGCAATTATTACCTCCCCTGGCCATCATTTTGGGGGTCATTTCCAATATATAATATGCTTAAGATAAGGTAAAAATCTCTAGTAATTCTATCATCTTCATGAAAACTGATAAAAAAAATCTTTTACATATCTGTGCTTTAAAAATATTTTGGCTGCATATATGTAACATAATTTGACAATTGACATAAATCAGCTGTTTATATTAATTTTTCATATTTTGTTAGTTATATTATATAGAATGTTGATCCCCAAAATGGCTGCCACTTTTGGCAAGGGAGGTAAACATTGTTGAAATTGGGAACTATCCATAATCAATATAAGGACTATACTGTACATATAATTGTGTATGTATGTGTTTGTATGTTTATCTCTAGGATAGTATAGAGGAAGTATTATCTAGGTCAGATACGGTTGCATTACGATCAACCAGTACATACAAGGTAACAAAAAAAACCCAAATATTTCAGACTAACCTTATACATTAAACAAAATTTTTCAAGGGTGGCACTTGCACTGAACATGTTACAATTTTTAACTGGAAATTGAATCGTGATTGCACGGGAGGTTAATTGCCTCCTCAGATTATTGTCAGTAAAACGAACAAGATCTCCCCATTTAGAAAAATTGTTCAAAGCCCTCAGAGTTTTGTAAAATGATAAACATATCAGTAATTTTTTACTAAAATAAATAAGAACTTTCAATCTTTTGTAAAATGATCAAAAGCTCACCATTTGTTTTGGAAAATGAGCAAAATCCCAACAATTTTTCTAGGCAAATGGACATAAGTCCCTCTTTTTAATGTTAAATAAACAAAAGCTGCCCCAGTTTTTAGTAAAATGAACAAACAAACAAAATTTTAGTAACATGAAAAGCCCCACAATTTTAGTACATGTAAAATGAAAAACCCAACTGTTTTAAATAAATTATGGAACAAAAGCCTCTCTATATGACTAAAAGTTTCTGCATTCAAATATCATCAATACTATTTTATAATGATAATAACCTTGTATACTGGTAATCTAATTTTCTACATGATAATGTTTTTGCCTACCCTTGTTCTTCAGAAAGGAGATTAGGTCATTGTGGTGTCAACAGATTTAAAGTTTTTCTTCCCCGACAACTTTACCGATAGCAATTATTTATTGATCTAAGTGTTTGGTTCATGTTTGGATTTTAATCATAGTGATGAAAAAGAATATTTGTTTTAGTGGTAGTATGATTTTTGCGTCAAATCAAATAAAGGCTTTAAAATGATTGAAAAATAAATCTATCAAAAATGATATGTTAGGGAAGATAGGATTTGGGTACATTGTATTTGTAGATGACACATTTGTTTAAATTATGTGATATATTTTCAGGAATTTTGCACATTTTACCCCAGAATTTTGCCTTATGTACTCAGGTGAACTCCTGCCATTAGATAGTACCTATATATTATGTTCATATCAATAAATTACATATCATTTATATTATTTATTTGCAAGTGTTAACAAATTATTGAAGATCATAGGTAAAGTTTACCAAATTAAGTTACAATATTTAAAATTTATTTGACATATGTAATTTGGAAACATATAGATACTTATTTCAAATATAAATTGACAAGATTTGCTTATACATGTAGCATTTACCATGTTTCATAATGAAAACTTAACTAAGATTACCTTAATTAAAGGCACTAATGTCTTTTGCTATATCCTAAACTTGTGCTGAATATGAAGCTTTTAAAATTAAGGTCAGCATCATGTGAATATCAAATTTTTCTCAACCTTATTAATTGTCCTATGTGTGTTTGAATCTAGATGATTCTACAAGACATTTTAGGTAAAGCTGAAAGGTCAAAAGTCAGGACCCATGTCCAACAGCTATCTGTGTAGAAAAGTTTACCTTGTTACTAAGGTTCCAAATGCCTTGTTACTATAGTTACTGATGCCATGCAAAGCAATGTTGCCGTGAAAAAGAGACTGGCTTTTATGTCAACCAATGCCAGAAATCACTATAAATATATGCATATGCATATACTTTCTGAAACTTGTGGTGGTGTTTTGACCACCAATACAGACCTGGCTAGATTTTCAAATCAGTCCAGTCTGTGACACTTTTGACCTATACAGCTTAATTTTATTATTTTAATAATGGAATCCCTTAAATTAATAATGTCAACTCACAAATTTAGACAGTTAGAAAATTAGGGCAAGACTTTTACACAAAATACAAATTCAGCAGGAAAAATGTTGATGAAAGAAATTTAACTGTGTAGGGCAGATGCTCAAAAAAGTGTATTATTTTATCCCATATTTGTTTATTATACATTACATGTATATACTACTGTAAAACTTTCATGAAAATGTTTCACTCATATTGATGTTACAGAAGTCAGTGACAGTTAAAGGTTGGAGCCTGTTTAGCACATAAAGTGCCACCCTTGGTGTATAAATATACCAGTCAGAACAGTAGATTATAGAATGTTGTGATCTGTACTCACATAGGCTCAAATTATAAATGATGTGTAAGTCAATGCTGTATTATATTCACCAGGCACTAATGTTTAGAATGATCAGATTTGTACTACATATTTATCGGGAGTAGAAAATTGAAATAGAAAAAAGGATTGAATTAAATAGAATTCATCGTCATGGAAATAGAAAAGAAAGTAAGTATAGTGTAGTGATACATTTTACATATAAACTATAATTGCTCATAGGCAGAGTGAGGAGGTCAAAATTTTATTACCCATAAGCCCAGAATCTTGAAAATGATTTTGTTAAAATTTTGGAAGCTAGTTATTCTCAATTATAGGGAGTATAATTGACACAATTGTATGAACCGTAACTCTTGCGCATTTATTCCTATTTTTGCTCTGTTTTACTTTTATTTCATTCAGAGACAGTGTGGAAAATGTCACAATATAATGTTTAATATTGACGTGAAATACAAAATGTTTATTGAGAAATAACTTATTTTGTATTGCTGTTTATTGCATGCTTTACGATGGTTTATAGAAATATATCAGTGAATTAAAACTGATAATTTCACTGTTTGAAACAGTGAAATTACCACTTTGATAATTTCACTGTTTTGAATTTAAGCCCCTTATGTTGTTTCAGTGAAATACCAGCGTGCACAGTACTGGGTACCAACTTAATGTTGTGACGTCGTAAATGACGTCACGTTGTATTATTATTTGGCGCGCTTTTCATTCAGTATTAGGTTTAATGTCTTTTTAAAACGTTTCTTTGCATATAATAAAAAGAAAATTTGTTTAGTTTAGTGTAAGATCGAAATATATTTCACCTTGTGCTGCGCCACTCGTGAAATATACCTATTGGTGCTCACTCCGTGAAATATATTCCGATCTTACACTGAACTAAACAAATATCCTCTATTTCTTTTTCTGGACATTTTAGTCTTATTAGAAAATTGTCACAATTATTACACATAGATTGATATCATAGGTATAGATAAGATACTATGAATTGTCAAAGCTTTACATATATTATGAATTCTTTTCTTTCACGTCTCTGTATGCCTTTTCTCTTTCTGCAATAAAGATGTGTTGTTTAGATACCCTTACATTGTCACTCTTTGCTTTATTTATTAATTCATCAGTCTGTGAAAATGCCTAACTGCAAACTCTTGAATTTCATTAGAAATAATGTAATTTGGTAAATTAAAGTAAAGTATTAAAATGGAATGATAAATATTTCATACCTTTGAATGACTGGTATATTTATAACCATTTTTTTCCATACATAGTTGATGCATGGGTTGTGGGTCTTTATTATTGTTAAGGGTTATATACAGTTTTCTCACCGTCTGTCTGCAATTGTACTTCCTGGCCAACAATTTTGTACTTTCCTGGTCAACGTTTCGAAAACAAGCATGATTTCAATTTAATTTTAATTTGTTTTCTGTTTTTTAAAATAATTCATAGTCCAAATTATGAGACAATATTTCCCAGGAAAACACATGCTATTAGAATAATCAATTTAATAAAGGTTTATACGTTTGGATTAAGATTGTTTGGCAAAGAACCTCTTGAAGTAGCTAATTTTTGTAACATCTGTAAAATCTTCCTTTTTTTTTACTATAGTTTATACTTTTTAAACAACTAATATGTTAGCAATATATTATGTACCTTATTTCTTAATTGATATAAAAAATGATCTTTAAATGGCTAGTTCTCACAAGAAATTTTGGTACATCATGTTATATACTAACTCCATGATAAATTTTTCTCTGATTATTCTCCAAGTTCATTGTGTTAATTTTTGTATGAGTATTTCAGGTTTGCAGTGTGACATGATTGTGCTGTCAACATTTGTTTGTAGTACTGTAGTAGGGAATAAACCTATATATCATGCTCGTTGTTGTACTATTCACTTACATTAGTAGAGGTCGTTGTTATTATTATATTAGCTATATAGATATATGTGTGCATTTTGCATTGTGTAGAATGAATGTTATCAAATATTTGCTTCACTTTTGTGCTTCTCATTTAGCTTGATGTTGGAAAAATGTGCTAGCATAAAGAATAGTTGAAGTAAATTTTGTGTGTGTTGCTTCAACTTGCTTGAATACTGAGGATTGATTGAAAATCAAATGTTTAGAGACAAAACCAACCCCATCCGCTCTCTCTCTCTCTCAAAAAAAAATTACTTAAGTGACTGTTTACCAAGTCTTCAATTTTTAGCTCGACTTTTCTATGAAAAGGGGAGCTATCCTACTCGCCCCGGCGTCGGCGTCGGCGTTAGCGTCGGCGTTGGCGTCACACCTTGGTTAAGTTTTTCGTACCACCCCACTTTATTTCAGAAGTATTACAAGTATGGCTTTGAAACTTACCATACTTGTTCACCATCATAACCTCCATCTACAGACAGGAGTACATAACTCTGTCAAGGTTTTTGACAGAATTATGGCCCTTTTTTGACTTAGAAAGTGTATTGAGCTTGGTTAAGTTTTTTGTACCACCTCACTTTATTTCAAAACCATTGGAGGTATTGCTTTGAAACTGACCATACTTGTTTACCATCACGACCTTCATCAACAGACAAGAGGACATAACTCTGTCAAGGTTTTTGACAGAATTATGCCCCTTTTTGACTTAGAAAATACATTGAATATGGGTAAAATCCACTTATTGCCTTAACCCTTTGAGATATTGCTTTGAAACTTTTAATGCTATTTCACATCATTACCCCCATCTGTACGCAAGAGAAGGTAACTCTGTCAGGGATTTGTTTTAAAAATTAAGGCCTTTTATCGACTTAGAATCTTGGTTAACTTTTTTGTACCAGTCAACTTTTTGACTGAACTGGTTGAGATATTAAATTGAAAGTTGGAATACTTGTTTACCATCATGGTCCCAAAACATGGGCAGGAGAAGGTAATTCTGTTAAGGATTTTATTTGAATTATGGCCCTTTTTGACTTAGAAACTCAGTTAAAATTTTCATTCTTGTCCACTTGTTGACTTAACCATTTGAGATATTACTTTGGAAGTTGGAGTTCTTATGTGCCATCATGAGACCTATCTGTAAGCAAGAGAAGATAACTCTGTGAAAATGTTTCTTGATTTGTACTTAGAAATTCCTAGTTAAAGTCTTGTGTGCCCTTAACTGTCAAAGTTTTGTTTTATAGGCAAGCACTAAAAAAGTCGAGCGCGCTGTCCTTCTGACAGCTCTTGTTTATAGTTTTTCTTACAAGCTGATTTTTTTGTACAAATTGTAGGACAAGTTAAGCATTTTTAGTGTAGAGACTGACTACCAGGTCGTCAGGTTTTGCAATATAATAATTTTTCTTAAAGAGCAATAGTTTTCCTTACAACACTATTTTTTACGAAATTACAAGTAAAAGGTGCATTATCTATTCAACTTTGCTTTAGTGTTACTCTTATTGTAAGCACTGTTTGATCATTAAATAGATGGTAGTATGAGTTTTCAGTCAGCTGTAGCATTCATTATATACAGGGCTCAAGCTAGGTTCAAAATTTAGGGAGAAGTCACTTCTCCCTCCAGCTGATTTAGGGAGAAGTGGGGAGACTTTAGGGAGAAGTGAGGAGATTTATTTATCGATGTTTGTTATCGCAATTATGTTGACTCACTGTACATATCTTATTAAATGAATTGGATTTGTGTTACAACAGAATATTCAATTTTGATTTAAAACAGAGACATAGATAGCTATTATTATAACTATTGTTATCTATGTCTCTGTTTAAAAGTAGTTTGAAACAAGTAATAAGAATGAGTATCATGTAATGCAACCATTGCATTAAATGAAGATAAAAAAGCCATAGTTGATTCCTATCATGGATCATATCATGGGTGGATTAACAGTTATTCCCTTCTGATTTACTATTAAAAAGCTTGCGCCGGACATTATATTCAATTTCACTTATGTTGTAAATAAAATGAAAGTAGATTACGAAAGAAACGATCTTTGATTTAACTTCGTTTGTAATAAATACAGTGTAATACACCGTTAATTTTATCAAATTTAACTCGTCGACAAAAAAGGTTATCATAACTTTCATTTAAAATTACCGTTACAGTTATATGTCGAGCGGTCCTCTTAATTCTGACAATCATTCGATAGTGAAAATTTAATTGACGTTTGATCCGTCCATCATAAATAATTGTTACAAGTAGTTGTATGTTAGCGATTTAATGATTGGTTAAATAATGTCGCCTCGATTAAAACGTGAATTACGATTGGTTTCTCGCACGTATCGGAAATCTCGCCGTGGGCGGAGTCTAATTGTTCTTGAGCGTCTGTTAATTAGACTTTTATGACATGTTGGTAAACAAACTGATTAATGACATTTCGCGTTGATTGAGATGCATGACAGTCCCTTTTTCTGGCGGCACGGGTAAACAAGGCAAACACACACAACATGTTATTGTTATTGTTGGTAATTTTCAATAATGGATCAATAAAATCGGGCGACTTCATCTTCGCTTTCATGTAGGATGTCGGCGAAGTCAGACGGAATTCGGCGACTATTTCGCCCGAATCGCCCACTAGCTCGAGCCCTGATATATGACATCATCTTCTTTTATTTCCTATGTCTTAATTTTGTTTTTAATCCCTTTGTCTTATCATTTCCATAATTATGAAGTCATGTTATTTTTACTGGGTTCATTTATTTTCTAGTTTTTTAAGAAAAGGAAAAACATTTTAAATATAGCTACTGTAGTAAATAGTTAAATGAAAATTGAAATATAGATTATGAAACAATGTAGATTATGTTATATATTTCAGGGTATTACGGGTCATGAAGTTTGCCATCATTTCTGGGATATAAAATACAGAATGGACTGGGAAGGTATTGTTTATTTATAAAGGAGTAGAGTTATGATATATTACCATGCTGGTTGTGATATAGTCTCAATATTTTGACTGTAAGCCTGATCCCTTTTACACACTGGTATTACATAGATGTTGTGAAGGGCGACCATCATCTTTAGAATAAAGATTTCTTGTGCTAGTTGTGACAGTGATGACTTACACCACCAGTATAGAGCCAGGTTTGACATGTCATTCAATGACATAAACTTGCAGACAGAAAAGGCTCTGAACTGAACTGTTTTCTGATCGGCTTGAAATATTTATCTAGATTTTTCTAAAATTCATTAACGAAAATGTTTTAAGAATTAAATGTAGAATAGTCTGGGAAATTTTCAAGGATAAGAGTTTTTGAAGTAACATTTCAATTAATGGAAAAAAGTATAATTTTTTTTGCTATAAATAAAAAACTTGCTCTTTCTTATTACTGTCATATCTAGTGCTCATAAATGAAATCAAAATACAACCATTAAGGGGAGCAGTGGCCTTGTGGTTAAGGTGTCTGCCTCTCAACCCAGGGATCATGGGTTCCAGCCCTACTCAGGGCATGACCATGTTTCTCCATATGACACCAGTACTGTTTGCTTCCAGGAAGCAGACTCGAAAGTAATTAATATAAGTTGCAAGAACTTGTTCAGCAATTGTGCTTAAATATATATGTTTAAACCAAAATACAACCATTCAATGAATCATCACCTTTTGCCTCTTTTGATAAGGAATAGTGAAAGTCCATATTTGTAGAATTTTTTTTTATATTTTTACAGCTACGTTGGATAGCAGTAATGTAGTTGAATGGCTGTCTGACGATACGTTTATTTGTCATAACATCATAAAACGTGTGTGGCCAGCGTCACAGCGCGATGCCCTCTTCTGGACCCACATACGACACGTGCAGGGTGAGACGGATGAGGAACCCGATTTATGGATTGTTGTTAATTATTCCACTAATCTTGAAAGTATACCAGTAAGTGTAAATACAGGTTTAACAATTATTTATGGGTGTTAGTACATACTTGATTATATTTTGTTATGCAAAATTAAAAAAACGAGAATTTCATGGTATAATGGTTGTACACATATTCAAATCACTTTTGCCTCACAAATTTGCGGTTTATATTTTGCCAGAGGGTTAGTATTTTCCTTCTGAGGAAGCTATGCAACTAGTCTGCTGAAGATTGGTGGTTCTACTTGGAAGTTGTCAGGTGCATGTATTTTTGAAAAAAGATGGCATCAGGAACTGATTCAGGGCTCACGCTGTCGGTCGCCATTTGTGATTATTTTATAAGATTGGCGATTATTTTTGCATTTTGGCTATAAAATCTGGCGATTATTTTTTACTTCCAACAGTGTTTGTATAAGGTGTAAAAATCTATAATGAATGCAGTAGACCCAATTAACACCAGCGGGGTGCATTTAATTGAGTGTCAACTTTTTACCGGTCACGTGCTGCTAACTATATTGCCTGAGGTGAAAAAATACATGCTAGATGTATAATTGTATAAGTACTTTAAAGATATTGTCCAGCATTTATAATAGCCATCAAATATCCGTCAATTAGCCACAAAAAATCGTTTAAAAATTGATAAACTGGATATTGACTTACCCAAAATTTACTGTGAAATGCAGTAATTGCAAATTTTGATTTTTTTTTGTTTTAAGCTATTTGACTAAATCGCCAGTGGAAAACAATGGTAAAATATTTAAAAAGTATTAACTTCCAAACAACTATTTGCACAACAACCAAAATTCTGAATATTTCTTCAGAAAACAGGAAAAATCCAATTGTCACATATTTTCGCGACACCAATAATTTTGATATTTATTTAAATGTGAAATAAGCTATGTTCTGTTTAAAAATCTTTACTACTATGGCAGAAAATTTGTATTACATTGGAGATGATGATATTTTTCAGTAAATTATTCAGAAAAAAGGCTGCATTCTGTGAATGAGTTTGCAAACTTGTGTTATTTCTACAGGCTAATATGACCTAGATCTACTCCAGTTCTGTGTGAAATGTGGAAATTGACAGTGGTTATAGCTGACAAAATTTGATTAGAACAAACAAAAAAAGTTGTCTGATAACAGCATTATGTAAAGTTATAATGAATCTTTAATATAATTGTTATACAGTAATTATACTAATTATAACGTTTTTATTCTGTTCTATAATAACAAAGTTGTGGTTCTATTTAAAAAAAAGGTAGTTATCAATATACACAAATGTATCAGTTTATTTGAGAATCCTTATAAACTAAATTTTTTTATATATTTAATGTTTATTTAATCAACTGTTTATGTTGTTAATCACTAATTCGTGAATAGTCCGCTGAACTTTTGGCTATTATTTTTTTAAGTTGAAATTATTGGCTATTATTTTATTTGAGCCAGTGTGAGCCCTGTGATTGAAAAGTGAGTCTATAAGCTTATGGCTTAATTTGCTGTGAGTTTCTTTTTCATTGTAAATGTTTGTTAGTGTGAAAGTTTTTCGTGTCAAATAAAAAATTCTACAGAAAAGTTTGGGAGAGAAAACCATTCCTTTTATGATAATCTGATACAATTGTTGAAAATTTCAGTCCAATAAGTATGTACGTGTAACGATGAATGTGGCAATGGTTTGTCAGACTATAATAGAACCACCAGTGGAAGGTGAAATAACCAGGGACAATATCAAATGTAAAATTTCCTATACTGCTGAAGGTAGGTGCAATCTTGATCTATTCATTATCATACAATTATAAGATTTAAAAATGGTAAGTGGTTTTCTGTTTCCAGAATCATGTCAAGATATTATTACACATGTTAAGGTTACAAATTCTATATTAAGTAAATTGAGGTGTTTTGACTATTTTGAAAAAAATTTGGATCTTTTTCTGTGTGTTGAAATGCTACCAGTCTCATTAAGCTCTTTTATATCAGAAAACATCCAGCCACTTTAAGGAAAGTTGGTGAGCACATCTTCGACTTTCTTCTGCAATTTACTCTGTAATTAAAACTTAAATGTTGCCATCTTACCATACTAGTATCTTAATGACTTTTCCCTTACCAGAACAATAATTAGAAAATGGTAACTTAAAGCTATGTCATCTTTTATTTCAGTAAATCCAGGAGGTTGGGCCCCAGCTTCTGTTCTGCGCGCTGTTTATAAGAGAGAGTATCCAAAATTCCTTAAAAGATTTACCTCTTATGTTAGAGAGGCTACTAAAGACAAAGAAATCTTGTTTTGAAGTGTTTAAGTTAATGTTTTTTGTTAATCTGTTATGACAAGTGCAAGTTGCCAATGAAGAGTTTCCTAAGGATCACACAAAAAAGCACAGGAAGTTAAAAAAAATGAAAGTGAGAACAGGAAGTTGAAAGAAAATGAAAAAGAGGCTGAATACTGTCTGTTTCTGCAACAGAATCAATGATTTCTAATCTTTGCTATATACATGGAAAAGGAGAACTTCAAGCTATTGACTTTCCAGTAACAGCTAGACATGCAAAAGAATGGAGATTTCTTTCATGTTGCTTTTCTTCTAAGCTTTCTACAATGCAGCTTTATTACATGTGGGAAATTATTTAAAAAGAGTGGTCACACACTGTCTTAGACCTAACCATTCATATATCAGTTCTTTGAGATTTTAAACATAAATGCCATATATGCTAACCATAATTGACCAGTGATATATCATCTTGAAAAGCGTTACCAGTAGTTAATCTAACATGCAAAGTTTTGAATAAAAAAGTAACTTCTAGAGTGTGAAGGTCACATTTAGAAGTAACTCACACAGATGTCAATATGTTGTTTTTCTTCTTCTCAACTGCTGTAGTATATTATTTCAATATCACATTCTGTATAAATGTTACTGCATGTCAGACATGCTCCTTATTATTGTTAATTGGACCACTATATCTATTTACAAGTCTGAAATTGGTTTCAAAACTGCTGAGCAGGTAATGTGTCAAACTCCTCACAGTGATTACATCCCTTGACAGATTGTACTGATAAAGGGAGATCACTGTGTAGGAGATTGGTAATGTGCTAGATTATTGATAATTAAATGTAAGTTAAGTTTAAAAAAACAAGTTAAACACTTGTCTTTCTAGCTCAACTGTCACAAAGTGACAGGGTGAGCTTTTGTGATTGCTTTTCGTCCGGCGTCCGTCCGTCCGTAAACTTTTTCTTTAAATGACATCTCCTCATAAACCACTAAGCCAATTTCATCCAAACTTCACAGGAATGTTCCTTTGGTGGTCACCTTTAAAAATTGTTCAAAGAATTTAATTCCATGCAGAACTCTGGTTGCCATGGCAACCGAAAGAAAAAACTTTAAATATCTTCTTTTAAAAAACCATAAGAGCTAGAGCTTAGATATTTGGCATGAAACATCTTCTAGTGAGTGTCTACCAAGTTTGTTCAAATAAAAGCCCTGGGGTCAAAATTGGCCCTGCCCCGGGGGGTCATTGATTTTCCCTATATGCATATAGTAAAAACTTAAAAAATCTTCTTTTAAAGAACCCAAAGAGCTAGAGCTAAGATATTTAGCATGAAACATGTTCTAATGGGTGTCTACCAAGTTTGTTCAAATAAAAGTCCTGGGGTCAAAATTGGCCCCGCGCCGGGGGGGTCATTGATTTTCCAAATATGCATATAGTAAAAACTTAAAAAATCTTCTTTTAAAGAACTCAAAGAGCTATGGCTAAGATATTGAGCATCAAACATGTTCTAATAGGTGTCTACCAAGTTTGTTCAAATAAAAGCCCTGGGGTCAAAATTGGCACCGCCCCAGGGGGTCATTGATTTTCCCTATATGCATATAGTAAAAACTTTAAAAATCTTCTTTTAAAGAACCAAAAGAGTTAGAGCTAAGATATTTAGCATGAAACATGTTCTAATAAGTGTCTACCAAGTTTGTTCAAATAAAAGCCCTGGGGTTAAAATTGGCCCCGCCCCGGGGGGTCATTGATTTTTCCTATATGCATATAGTAAAAACTTAAAAAATCTTCTTTAAATGAACTCAAAGAGATATGGCTAAGATATTTAGCATCAAACATGTTCTAATAGGTGTCTACCAAGTTTGTTCAAATCAAAGCCCTGGGGTCAAAATTGGCACCGCCCCGGGGGTCATTGATTTTCCTTATATGTGTATAGCAAAAACTTAAAAAATCTTCTTTGAAAAAACCCAAATAGCTAGAGTTAAGATATTAAGCATGAAACATCTTTTAGTGAGTGTCTACAAAGTTTGTTTAAATAAAAGACCTGGGGTCAAAATTGGCCCCACCCCGGGGTCATTGATTTTCTTTATATGTGTATAGCAAAAACTTAAAATCTTCTTTGAAAAAACTCAAATAGCTAGAGTTTAGATATTAAGCATGAAACATCTTCTAGTTAGTGTCTACAAAGTTTGTTCTAATAAAAGCCCTGGGGTCAAAACTGGCCCGGCCCCAGGGGTGTCATTGTATTTAACTATATGTGTATAGAAAAAAACTTAAAAAAAATCTTCTTTTAAAAAGCCCAATGAGCTAGAGCTTAGATGTTTAGCATGAAACATCTTCTTATGGGTGTCTACCAAGTTTGTGCAAATAAAAGCCCTTGGGTTAAATTGGCCCTGCAACATTGGGGGGGTGGGGGGCTATATACAGGTGAGCGACCTCAGGGCCATCATGGCCCTCTTGTTTAGTTTGAAATCTTCTGAAACTGAAAACTGACATGATTCCTTATTTACTTGTGTTTAGTTTGTTTATTTATAGCAAACTTTTATTTTCTGTTTCGGTACCTCCTGATATGCAAGAACAAGGTTTGGCCTTTAATATTAATATTATTTTTTTATAGATTTTTTTTATATAGAAAATGTTATTACTGCTTTTTTTCTCACTTAGTGAAATAATTATCGGATGCTTTTTAGAAAAAAAAAGACATAAAAAAGCAACAGGAATGACAATGTAATAATAAGTTAATTTAATTCTGCACTGCATATTTATTTCCCAGTAAATTTATTTTGCTTACATTGTATGTATTTCCTTTTCATTCTGCAATACTTTCAGCAACTGTAGATATTACTCTTGTATTATTTTTTAGCGGAACAATGCAATATGAGGAGTTGCACAGTATTTATTTTTTATTACTCTAATTTGTCTAATGTATGTAAATTGGGATAATTGTTTTGTTTTTGTTTAGATGAGTCTTTGTATTACTCTGAATATATGTAGTTTAGTCATATATAAATAAATGTATATATTTTGGAGAAGTTATTCAAATTGATACGCTACTAGTTTGGAGATAAAGTTAGAAAATGAATTCTTTTATGAAATTAAACTGAGACGTCAATTTAGTCAGGGTGGAATGTCAAAGTCAGCAATCTTTAACCTTGCTGGAATTCGATTCTGAAATCCCTTAAACTTTGAATGGACTGTTCCAGCTTTAAAGCAGGGCAAATCCATTTAACAAATTTAGGTTAAGGTTAAAAACCATGATGTAAGAAATAATATTTACCTAGTTACTTATATTGTATCATTTCTGTGTAATTTCTGAAACTATTTCTGGGTTTTATGTTACATTTTTCTTCAGCAGACTATTCTCGACTTTCATACCATTTTTCACTGTAACGGACTTTCAGTTAGATTCAAAATTCCATTGTAATTTAATTAATATCTATATGCGATATGTGATACTTATTAATGTGTCTGAAATATTTGGAAACTTTGTTAGATGTACATTAAATTATCTATGTGTACCATGCTGTTCTAAGGGTTGAAAGTAAGTAACTGCTTAAAGTTGTTTATATACATAGTAAAGTGATTTCATAAAGGTATATGGCAACATTTTTTTTTTGTATTTGAATAGGTGCTTTGGTTTTTAGCTCGACTATACGAAGTATATGGAGAGCTGTCCTACTCGCCCCGGCGTCGGCGTCCGCGTCCAGATTTTAGATTAAAGTTTTGGTGCAGTAAAATATTTTTCACTATAACTTTGTCATTTCTTAAGGTATCAACTTCAAACTTCAAATATATGTTCCTTATCATCAACCACATCTTATGTGACAAGGTTCATAACTCTAGCACCAATATTTTCAGATTTATCTCCCCTTGAACTTAGAATTTTCCTTAAAAAATACTATTTTTTTACTGATACTTCTTTATTTCTTAAGGGATCAACCTCATACTTCAAATATATGTACCTTATCATCATCCCCATCTTATGTGACAAGGTTCATAACTCTAGCACCAATATTTTCAGATTTATCTCCCCTTGAACTTAGAATTTTCCTCAAAAAATACTATTTCTTACTGTTTCTTCTTTGTTTCTTAAGGGATCAACCTCATACTTCAAATATATTTACGTTATCATCATCCCCATCTTATGTGACAAGGTTCATAACTCTAGCACTAATATTTTCAGATTTATCTCCCTTTGAACTTAGAATTTTCCATAAAAAATATTATTTTTTACTGTAACTTATTTATTTCTAAAGGGATCAACTTCATACTTCAAATATATTTATGTAATCATCATCCACATCTTATGTGACAAGGTTCATAACTCTAGCACCAATATTGCAAGAATTATCTCCCCATAAACTTAGATTTATTTACTAGAAAAATGTTATTTTTTATTTTAACTTTTTTATTTTTAAAGGTATCTACCTCAAACTTCAAATACTTATACCTTATCATTAATTACATTTTATGTGACAATGTTCATAACTCTTGAAGCAATATTTACAGATTTATCTCTCTTTGAACTTACGATTTTCTTTAAGAAATATAATAACTTTTTACTTTTTAAGGTATCTACTTCAAACTTCAAATATATATTTCTTATCATTACACAAATGTTGTGTGGCAAGATCCATAACTCTAGCATGACTATTTCTAGAATTATTCCCCTTGATCTTGGAATTTATGTTAACAAATGTTATTTTTTTACTATATCATAATGCGTAATTATACATAATTGATTTTTCTTTCATAGTTTTGTCCTCCTTATTGCGTCCAGTATTTTATTAGTCGAGCTTCGCTGTCTCCTGTGACAGCTCTTGTTTTGTTATGTAGTGCTGTAAAAGGACAATTGCATGAAAAAAATAATAAGGGCATTAGTGTTTCTGTGTTTTATTTTCAATTACCAGATTGATTTGTGTGATTTGTTGATTTCTTCTTCCCAGTTAGATTGGTGTCAGCTGAACCACTACTTAACAGCATAAAGTGTGGCTGATACAAAATGCAAGTCTGAATGGGCATGGTGATTTTTGCTTAATAATTAAGCCTTGTTTGATGGTAATATGAAAATTCATTGATAACAGTCAGATGGTTGATCAACTTATCCGTTCCTTGAGTGATATATGTATATGTTAATGTATTTTGTTTCTTTGTAAATTGTGTTTATGTTTTTACCTACATTCAATATCTGTGTATTGAAAATGCCATGGTTCATACAGAGACACCTGTTGTGAATACTTTCATAATACAGAGCAATCTGTTTAAATAGGTCAACTTATAACTAACGATGTTAATTTGTATCTGTTTAAGGTTTTTTTTTCATTTTCTTTAATCAGTGCTTAAATCTCTGCTAAAGGTAGTAACATTGGAATGTTATTTAAACTCTTTTAATGTGTAGAAAGCTATATCCTTACTGCCTTGTAGTTTACAAAATTTTTTATTGAATTTTGAAAAATAAAAATCCAAAATGCCTGTATGAATGAGAAATGTTGGTATATTGTTTTATAAGCAAAATACTCGTGCTTGAAATCATTGCTGTACCGTGTTTAAAACCTACTTTAATAGCAGCATAATATACTGTTATGGAACATTTTATTCTGTTTAAACACCGTTTTAATTTGCAGAAACCCTCTTTGTTACAACTTTTTTGAGAATCGGCCTTATGAATAATGAATCGTGATTATACTGTTTTTTAATTTCATGAAAATATTTGCATTTGATACAGCTTTATACCCTTAATAGCACATGTATGGCGAAATAAAAAACGAATAAAAATACAAACTTAATGTGGCATTACTAATATGTTAAAATAACCTACAGGACAAAGGAGTTGACTTACATATATATTTAAGAAACATTCTATTGGCATTGAAGGAAGATAATTTCCTTACATAGCAATTTTGTCAAAACAGTGTGAGAAGTATCAAAAGTATACACATAAATCATTTTCTTTTCTAGTTTCAATTTGTATTTTTGTACTTGTTTACTTCTTTGTATTAAATTTGATTATTTTTCTTTTTACAAATGTTTATTAAAGTTCATTTAAACCATCTCATGGCTTTTTGGCTATATCGTGGAATAGACTGCAGGTCTTAACCATGAGTACATATAAGGTTCATTCCAATTTCTCCATGAAATATAAAGTTTGGTCTTAACCTGGAGATTGGTTTTTTGTGTCAATAATTAAAATTGTATGATAAAAATTCTGCTTGATTAAATCAATAAGATTGTGTATACATACTGTATAGTGGCATTTATGAAGTTTTGAAGTTCATTTACCAGTATATATTGATAGAATCACATTAATATTTGTCTTAGTAGTTTATTATAAGCGAAGTGAAAATAAATCTTATCCAAAAAATCCAAAAAAAAACCAGTTCTACGGTAATTTAATATTTCCCTATGCAATTATAACACAAAATGGATATTTCCTAAATATTGAGAGAAAAAAAGAAGAAGAAAAAACCAATAAGAATTTTTTTTATGATTTAAGTTAACTAGTCATTTACATCATACTGTGATCAACAATAACATAATTCCTTACCCTCCTCATGTAATATAACAGACTTGCCATACATTGTAACAATCAGTTAGATGTTTTAAGATGGTGC